GAAGGCAGATGCATAACTGACTGAGCCACCCAGGCGCCCTGGCTTTATAATTTTATAAGTAGTTTTAAGATAATCACCGAGTCGCAGGTGATATATTTTTTTTTATGTGAAATGGAGTAAATACCTTTACAGACTTTAAAGTACTCTGAAAATATTACTTTTCATGATTGTACAGTAGATCTGATAGACAATTTAATATGTTTTTTTCAGGTGCTTTGGGGAAAAGGACACGGTTCCAGGAAAATTATGTGGCACAACTTATTCTAGATGTAAGAAGGGAAGGGGATGCCTTTTCACATTGTGAATTCAGTCCAGTACCTACTCCTCAGGAACATTTAACCAAGGTGAGTAGGAGCGTAAGTTATTTAAATTACCATCCAAATCTAACAGGTTCAGTAGGTGAGTTTTGTAGTAACACTGAATGTTTTGGGAAGAGGCTTCATTTTGTTCCTTCTTGAGCTTTTTCATGGTAGCTGGGGGTTTTAGAAAATACCCAAGCAAACCAACGTGTGTTTAAGCCTTTTTTACCCTTAAATAGAGATAAAATGTCGTTTTTCTTTTAGACTTCAGTAATATGAATTAGTAATGCAGTCAGTTATGTATTATTACTCTTCCTTGAAAAAATTCAAAAGACAGACTGGGTAGAGCCTAATTTTTCTAGCTGCTACTGTATTTGTTGCCTTAACTTTTGCCTTCTGTGGATATTTTTGAATATTAAGAGACTTGAAATTTCTTAGGCTTCTTCAAAATATATAAACAGATGATAAGAATTTCTTTTTACGAGAGTTCTGATCCTTTGTTACTGTCATTATTGGGCTGATTGCTGCCTTATTATGTTTTTCTTGACTTGGCTAATGCATTCTCTTTGTTTTTGTTTTTGTTTTTTTAAGATTTTATTCTTAAGTCTCTACACCCAGTGGGGGCTTGCACTTACAACCCTGAGATCAAGAGTCACATATTCTACCAACTCAGCCAGCCCCATGCATTCTCTTCTTGTAGCTTAAATTTATGGCTTTTTGTCAGTTTACCTACTTAAATGCCTTTCCATCTGCTTCCATAGAGGTCATTAGCATTTATATTTTCTTACTGTGGAGATTCCAAGCCAACGCTTTTGGTTGTCCTTTGCCTGATGTTACTGTCTTTGAAACCTACCCTTCATTCCAGAGCCTATAAACAAATTTACCCTGGGTACACTGAACATTAAAATTCTATTCTGCATTGAAAATAGTGCCAAGGGGAGGGGCTAGGGCTGCGAACAAAGAGTGACAGCAGTCAGGAGTCCCAGGGAAAGCCTTTGATGAGCTATTGCACACTGCTGGGCTTGTTCCAAGCACTCTCTTGTTTGCTTTTGAGATAACTTCAGGGAGGAACCGCTGTTGATTCTAAGAGGAGAAGGAAGGAAGGAAGGAAGGAAGGAAGGAAGGGAGAGATGTAGAAACTCAGGGATAATACTGCACAGTGCTGTCTATACTTCATGATGCAGGTTGAGCTGTAGTGAAGTGGGTTTCCACTGCTGTGTTGATGCTGGTCAGGGAACATGGTGCTGTTACCTGCCTCAGACCTCTCTTCTTCCCTCATTACATGTATGGCGTCTCCTCTTTAGATCCCCCTTTTTTTCCTAAGCCTTTTGATGTAACCCAAGCTCCTCCCTAACTCTTAGATTAACTGCCATAAACCTGATTTTTAGGCCATCGCATAAGCATCAGTGAAAAGAGATTCCATTCTGCAGTCCACACATTTAATTCAGTAATCCATTGTTTATTGTTTTTTTATATGGAGTTCTCTTACTGAAAATTGTCTCAGGGGCTCCTGGGTGGCTCAGTTGGTTAAGCGTCTGCCTTCGGCTCAGGTCGTGATCCCAGGGTCCTGGGATCGAGCCCCGCATAGGGCTCCCTGCTCAGCGGGGAGGCTGCTTCTCTCTCTCCCTCTGCCTGCCACTCCCCCTGCTTGTGCTCTCTCTTTCTCTGTCAAATAAATAAATAAAATTTTTTTTTTAAATAAATAAAATCTTAAAAAAAAAAAAGAAAAGAAAATTGTCTCCTGGGATGATAAATAGGATATGATGACTATTATGAGGAATGTAAAAAGATGATATACAATTTAATATAGAATTTATTGAATCTTTCATATTTGAAGTAAAATACATTCAGATAATCTTAATTACTACTTAGAGGTAAAAGGTAAAAATTATATGATGTAGGTATTGATTAGATAGAAACTGCTTTATACTTATGAGCAGAAGACAGTTGCTTATTTAATTAGCTATATATCCTGTTTCCTTATATCAAAGGCACTATTAAATTATAAAATACACTCTCTTTTTTTTTAAGATTTTATTTATTTGAGAGAGAGAGAGAAGGTGAGAGAGCAGCAGAGGAAGAGGGAGAGGGAGCAGCAGGCTCCCCACTGAGCAGGAAGCCCGATGTGGGGCTCAATCCCGGGACCCAGGGATCATGACCTGAGCTGAAGGGAGACGCTTAACTGACTGAGCCACCCAGGTGTCCCTAAAGTACACTATCTTTTTAATAACCAATCCTTGGGGGAAAAAAAAGGATCACTATTATACCAATTTTAGTTATTACAAAATATATCCTGATTAGAAATGTTACAGTGTGAATATGTGTATCTTAGAATTGAGGAAACAGTAACTTTATTGCCAGTGAGGAACATATTTCCCTTTAGACCTTCCTAGATTTTTAATCTGTTATTAATGGGGAATTACATAGACTTAAGCCATTGGAGATCAGGGTTTAATAAGCCAACAGTTAGGTGCAACCCCAATGTGCAAATGAAAGACACAATCTCTGTTCTTGAGATGCCTGGGTGGCTCATCGGCTAAGCGTCTGTCTTGATTTCGGCTCAGGTCTTGATCTCAGGGTTGTGGGATTGAGTCCCACATCCGGCTCCGTGCTTGGTGTGGAGTCTGCTTGTCCCTCTCTCTCTCTCTCTGCTTCAACCCCGCTCATGCTCTCTCTCTCTCTCTCAAAAAAAAAAGTCTTAAAAAAGGACAGTCTGTTCTTAGTTGTTCAATTGTGTATTCACAAAAAACACAAATGCATACATGATCAGCGTCACTGATGAGAAATATGCCTTAATGCTAAGTATGGTGTGTGTCCTGCGTATTGGAGATAAATTATGTCCTAGTTTCTTGATTCAGTAGAATGTTATGAGGTCCAGGTGGGACTGAGGTAAAACAATATTTTAAATTTGGGACTTGCAGAACAGTTAGGTAAGTAGGTACTGCAGCAGACCCATTTTAATTTCAAAAGAGCAGAATAGGAACATAGAGAATTTTGAATGAAGATCAAAGCCGTTTTTGATTACTTGCTTGTGTCTGGCAAATAAATAATGCCATGCTGCCAACCCTGACATATCTCAGATCTTTGGTGGTGGAGGGGAGGGGTCCTGGGATGGCAGGAGACTTGGGTCTCTGTCCCATCCTTATTGTCTAGCCTAGGGGGAGAATCTGGGACAGTTCTGATAGCCTTAGGTTCCTCATTTGTTTTTCCCACATCACACTTTGTTAAAGGATCAGATTAGATTTGTAAAGCTATCGTACGGATGTGTTACTAAACCTTGTGTATTAGGGGCGCCTGGCTGGCTCAGTCAGCAGAGCGCGTGACTCTTGATCTCAGGGTTGTAAGTTTGCATCCCATATTAGGTGTGAAGATTACTTAAAAATAAAATCTTTAAGGTTGCCTGGGTGGCCCAGTCAGTTAAATGTCTGACTTTTGGTTTCGGCTCGGGTCATGATCTCAGGGTCCTGAGATGGAGCCCCGAGTCTGGCCCTGTGCTCCGTGGGGAGTTTGCTTGAAGATTCTTTCCCTCTACCCCTTCCCCCACTCGTACGTGCACTGTCTCTCAAATAAATAAATCTTTAAAAAGAAATCTTTAAAAAAAACACCAAAAAACAAGCAAAAAACCAAAGAAAACATTGTGTTTTAATAAGTTGATGCATCCCTTTAAGGATGTGAAAAGATGAGAATTTTGGGATACTGTAGAGCTACATGGTCCACTATGGTAGCCATCAACCACGTGTGATTGTTAATCACTGGGAAGTTGGTTGGTCCAATTTGAGAGGTGCTGAAGTGGGAAAGACACATCAGATTTCATAGACTGTATATGAAAAAAAGAATGTATAATATCTAATTAATAATTTTCTGTTGACACATATTACAAGAATAGTACTTTTGATGTATTCAGTTAAATCATTTTTAAAAGTTTACTTTTTTACTTTAAGTGTGGCTATTACATACGTAGTTCTAGTTTTTAAATTATGAAAGGCCTGTGTTGAAAACGATGGCCACCAGGGTGCGCTCTGCACCCGCCTGCCCTGCCTTTGAAGGGGCCCGTTGGGGAGGAAGAGCCGCTTTTTCAGTTGGATTCTGAGCTGAAGCGTAAGGTTCTGTGTTCCTCCCATCAGCAATTTGTTGGAATTGCTGTACTCTTTTCTTAAAAGGCTGTAGATAGAGCTCAGCCTACAGTTAGGGAGAACTTGAGGATAGACAAGGAAAGCTGTTCCTCTGGGCTGTGTTTTGGGCAGATGTACTGCTTACTAGTTAAGAGGTTGACCCCTTAGCCAGAGGCAGTTTCCAGCCTTCTGGTCCATTTAGCTCCTACTTTTGGCTACTTTTATTGAACTAGAAAAAAATTTAAATTAAAGTTGTGCCTATTTTATTTTAAATGTACAGTTTGAATTTTGAAAAATAGACCTACGGAATGACCACCACCGTAATAAAAATAGAATCATTTCCATTACACCAGAAAGTCACTTATAATACGCCTTCATAGTCAGTCACTTTCCCTCTCACTGGTCTGCTTTCTGTCACAGATTAGAGCTGCTTTTTGTAGAATTTCAAATAAATGGAATCATACAGTATGACTCTCTTGTGTCTGTTTTCTTTCACTTAGCATTATGTTTTTTTAAGTTATAATTCTTTTTTTCCAGTTTTATTGAGAAATAATTGACATATATCACTATATAAATATAAGGCATACAGCATAATGGTTTGATTTGCATATATTGTAAAAATTTTACCACAATAGGTTCAGCTGACATCCATCTTATATAGATAAAAAGAAAGGAAAAACAGAAAAAAGTGAAAAAACATTTTTTTACTTGTAATGAGAAATCTTAGGCTCTCCTCTCTTCACAGCTTTGCTGTTGGTCACACAGCAGTGTTAGCTGCACTCACCACATTGTACCTCACATCCCCAGTGCTTACTCGTCTTGGAACTGGAGGTGTGTACCTTTTGACCACCTTCCTCCAGTTCCTCCTCCCCCTCCCCTCTGCCCCTGGTAACCATAAGTCTGATCTCTTTTTCTACAAGTTTGATTTTTTTT